GGGAAGCATGTATAATATAAAATCCATTGCTTTCAGCACAGAGCTCTGTGGAAGACTGGAATTTAGAAGGAAAGGGCAAATTCAACTATGTTTTAATTGCCACCAGTAGCCAATATTTGCTTTTTTTATTTTAAAAATGCCTTTCCAGCAATATTAAATAGGGTCTAACATAAGGTTCTTTTTTGCAGCCTTTTTTGGTATACTTTGCTGTCCATTTCATCAAAATGTGTCTCAGTTTTGTATGAGTCAGATGATTGTTGGGACCAGATCATCTGCACTGGTCTTTCAAATAGACTTTGCCTGATATGTTTTGGTTTCATTTCCCCAAATCAAGCAAAATGGGCCATACTGTGAGTTCTGAATTAATAACCAAGTGTTACCAGCAGAGGGTGAACATCATGGTCAATGCAGACATCCATTTCCCTCTATTTTATTGTGACACGACATGTGAGGGCACCAACTATAAACACATGTTCCCCAAATGGACTGTGAAACAGTATCTGGTTGGAATTAGAATAGAAGAATCAGAGAGCCAACAAAGAGCAATGACAATAAAGCAAAATTATGCTCCACGGCAACTGTGCAGGACTAAAAAAAAAATACAAATAGTAAAGACATCAGGAATAATTTCAGTCAGTTGTGGGTAACTGCAGACACTACAGTAGAGTACTTGTTTTTATTGGGTGCCCTTGTAGTGCAGTGTTTGCATTCAACAAAGTGGATGGCATGCTAGATTAATAAGAAGAACTGTGGTGTCCAAAGCTAATCATGAGTAAAGGTAAGCCCTTGCTTTAGTGGTGTAGCTAGAAGTACCACATTTAAATTGAAACCATGCTTGTAACTAACTCAGGCAGCAAAGGAGCTGTGCTAAAACAATCTTTGAAATCAGCTTGTAAACATATTAGAGGTGCCATTAATAACTGCTCAGACAGTATCTGTTTAAGAAAATTAAATAGTGAGTGAAAAGGGCCAACAAAAGACCAAAAACGGAAATGTTTTTGCATTTGATGTCAAATAGCATTGGATACTGGCAGATAATAATAGCTCTAAGGTGAAATGCCGAAGGTTGTACCTGTGTTTGTGAAATACATCTGCCTCTATTTCATTCAGTCAGTTTATCTGCTCGTCATCTCGTGTCTTGCAAACTAATTTGACAGCTCAATCTTGAAAGCCTGCTGGAGCAGTTGTTGTGTCTAATGTGTTTCTTTTTTGTTTCGTGTCTCTCAGGAGGCCCTCCTGATGTTGGCAAAATGCTTGGTGGGGAGGAAAAGGAAGAGGACCCTGATGCAGCGAAAAAAGAGGAGGAGAGACAGGAGGCACTGAGGCAGCAGGAGGAGGAGAGGAAGGCCAAATATGCCAAGATGGAGGCTGAGAGGGAATCGATGAGACAAGGCATCAGAGATAAGGTATAATGAAAAAAATGGATTTTGCACTGTGGCTAGCTAAGGTAGTCATAAAGTAAAATTTACAGTTATCAACCCAACAAACAGAACTATAGTAAGGCAGTCAGTCTTGTAAGGAAAACAACCACCAAAACAAAGACAATAAAGAAACAATTAATGCAGAATTAAATAATGTCATACAATGAGCACTGCTTACTGCACGAGAGATGCATATGGGCAAAAAACTTGGATTTTTAGAAGCCATTCTGTCTTTTGTTTTTCACGTACCTTCTAAAGGCTTCTCATCTTGGTGGCTTGACAGCACAACTGTTTATTTATATATATATAAAAAACTTGTTTAAAATAGACTACCGTGACATTGTTGTGCTTGCTTTGTGCTATTTTTAAAGCTCTCGTACCCATGAAGTAGATCAGTAGATCAGGAAGGAGCTGTAGAGAAGTAAAAAGCTGTTGAAAAATGAGATGAGATTGGATTGATTTAGAAACAGTAATGGTAGCCAGGATACAATTGAAGCTACATATACATATATATTATTAGGCCATTATTTGGACGTTTATCTTTTTTCCATGATTACACACTGTATTTCTTTTATACAAACTAGTCAGGGCTGTAGAGACGCTGGAACTGCAGTGGCTGCAGTGTAACCACTTCACTGCAGTGTGAAAGGCAGGCAGTCTGTGGGTGGGACAGGTCTGAAGGGAATAGCCCACTGTGAATCAGCGGGTTGAAAAGCAGCACTCCTCCCTTGGCTCGCCACCTCGTCTATACTTCTTAAGTTCTCCTGGAGGGAAAACAAAGAGTGAGGAACAGCTCCTAAAGTGCTTGTCACCAAAAGGATACTGTCAGTTTCCTCCACAGCTTCATTCCTTTGTGCCAGATTGTGTGAAAAATGCCCACACTATGTCCATGTCCTTGCTGGAGCATGGCAAAGCTAGCAGTGTCACATGCATAGCTGCTTTATTTTATGATTACCAAATTACTTGACTGACATTTGTCAACCAGAAATGGCATCTTACAAATGTAGTGTGTAGGCGTCTATAAAAATGTGATTCACAAGAAGCATTCACGCTTCAAAAAGCTGGCTGACAGCGCAATAATACTTCTTTTTCCATGATGTTTTGATTGCAACATTTTTTTTTTAAATGGATTTTTTTTTTCTTTGTGTGCTTTTGTCAAATACAAATTTGCAATGTATTTTTTGTCTGAACTCTTATCAGCAAACTTGTGTTTCTGTTTCAACTCTAGTATGGCTTGAAAAAGCGTGAAGAGGCCGAGGCTGAGGCAGCAGCCGCCCAAGAAGAGTCTGCAGCGGGCAGCTTGACTAGACCTAAGAAGGCTGTGCCAGCTGGCTGTGGTGATGAGGAGGAGGAAGAAAGCATCATGGACACAGTGATGAAATACCTGCCAGGCCCACTGCAAGACATGCTCAAGAAGTAAGCTAGGTAGCTAGCTAACACTATCTAGCTTAGTTCACAGGCTACAGTTACTTTAATTTGGTTTTTCTCCTTTTTCAAACACATCTAAACAAATAACATGAAGTTACATTTTGGCAAGGGGTTATGTTGTTTGGCAAGTCAAGGTTTTGTGATGAAGAAATGCACCAACAGTGTGAACTGCAGCCATTGGACTAAGCTAGGCTGGCTTACCGGCCATGTGAACGTTAGTTATGTTACAAAGCTAACAGCAAGCAGAGGGCAAAGACAAATGTTAGACGATTTATCCTTCTAGTCTGAGAAGTTTTAAACTCCCCTTTCTGTCCCCTGCAAGGGATGCAAAAGCTTTCTTGCACCACTGGAAAATAATACCCTTGTACACCATATTCATTCAGTTTGTACATAAATAAGGCAGTGCATAACAACCCTCCATGTGGGCAAAAAAAACAATCAAAAATATTATATATTAAAAAATATTATTCTGTATGTCTGTCTATAAAAGAAAAAAGTAATAACTTGATAAGCCATATTTTAAAAAGGAACTTTAAAGACTACTCTTGTGTGCTCCTAAAGCTCGTTTTATGTTCAGCCTTGTCTAAAATTAATGTGAAACCTTTTGCACACAATGTTAAAATCTCTGTAAAACCTGTCGTCTACTTTCCTCACACACTCCCACAATGCCCTTCATGTAGTATAGTGTTTAAAATGTTTCTATTCTCACATTCTGTGTCTCTTCACGTCCTGCATGCCATTTGTCTGTAAGAGTTAGTCGTGTGATTATGTGCTCCCATCATCTCGGTCTCCTTTTATCCTCTTTGTTATCATGCAAAAAATAATATGGCAATAACACCTGAGTTTGACTGTGTTTTCATGTCTATATAACCGTTAATATTATTAGTAATAAAAAAAATATATATATATATATATAAATATGTATGCTTTCAGGAAGTTTAATTTACATGTTTGCAGGGTTTTCCTTTTGTTATTTTATTGTTTTGATGAAGAATGACTGCTTGGCTGTTCATATAATAGCCAAAAACCTTAAGCTTTCAGCCATAAAACCAGAATTTACAGCATATATACTATTACCATCAGGATCACTTAAAAGGGAAAGAATAATAACAAAACAGTGTGAATAAAAAATGTGTTTTTGAATAAGCAGCGTTGAGTCGAGAGTGAATTATAAGACCAGGTTTCGCATTATACAATGATTTGTGAGAGAAAGACCGCCTTCCCTCAATACGCACAGACACACAGTGAATACTGCAGTTTGCCTTCTAATTTAGCTACACAGAAAAAAGCTGGTGTGTTTTCAAAGACGATTTAAAGTGATGCTTGATTCAGTTTCTTATTGTTGGCTTAGATGTGATGATGGTCCAATGAGGGCAATGCAGGTTGCCATGAGCAATAAAGGTTTATCATGTATGTTTCTGCCTGAGATTCAATAAAAACTTAAAACCTTGTTCACACATAAAAGCGTGTCGCTGTCTTATTTGTGATATTCCATATTTAAATCATGATGGTAAGTTGCACTTTACAGTCTCAGTATACATGCAGTATTTGTTAGATTGGAACAATTACGACGTTCTGAACGGTACAATAATAGAATATAAATATGTGTTTGTGTTTGCCATGTTGAATTTCACCAAATTAACAAAAACTAAAAACCTTCCTTCTTGAATTTTATTTCATTTTAGTTACTTTTGTAATAACACAATTCCATTTCCATTCCACAATTATCAGGGATTGTAACATCTAGCCCTTTTACTGAATCATTCTCATTTTTATTTTTTATCACGATTAACTAAAATTGTTTTAGTTTAGTCCAGTTAACTGTAATAACCTTGTACTGAAACAAATGATGCATAAAACTGTAATTTTTCCCTCCAATGAAATTAAAATATTTTTTTTTTCAGATCATTGCTTACAACCTCCCTGGAATGACAATGAGAACCTGTAATTTTTCATAAATATGACATATGACATGTGGATTTTTTCCTCGTTGCTGTATAAAATCAATTGCAACCAAGCGCCACCACTGAGGACCGTAGCCAAGAGAGCCAAAAGGGATGGAAAGCTTCACCAGCTTGGTGTAATTCTGCTCTTTCGCCACAGAGGGGCACTGTGGGCCCTGCAGTCTTTGTATCAAATGTGCTGAAGGTGTATAAACAAAGACAATTTCCAAGCTTTATTTAATTCATAAAACAGAACAAAAAATGTGAACTATCTATGAAAAAACCGAGTCAAGCAGTACAATATGAAAAAAGCCCTACACAGGAGAAAAGAACATGACACACAGAGACTGTGAGAGCAGAGTCCTCTTTCACTTTTAGCTTTCAATTCTTCATCTTTATAATGAAGATATCGACCATTCACTGGACATTGGCCTTGACACTGTCAGTAACAAAGTGGTGATAAATAATAACACTGAATGTGTTATTAGCCCTTAAACGTGCAATCAGAATTTTGAGCAAGAGTTGTTCAAATTAGGAAGACATAAACGTTTCCTAAAACAAATAATTCATTGACAGCTAATAAAAGCTAACAAACCATCCTGTGATTTTTACTGGAACTGTTCTAATTCCTGCTTATATAACAGCTAACTCTACTTTTCCCTCATTGCACTGCTGACTTTTAAAGTTATGAGAAATCCCGCTATCTGCTCCAAAGTATACAGCAGCATAAAATCAACATTTATTCGGGTGTTTTTTTTGGCCTATGATGAGAACCATTTCATTTTGATCTCCAAAGGATTAAGGTGCAATACCATATTTCTGATTTTCAGTACCTGTCATAGCTAGACATGCTTGTAAATAGTCTGTTTTTCATATGAATAAGGGGGATTGTTATAGTCTGAAAGCTGCAAAGACATGAAAGGTTTCCTGCATACAAAAATACAACAAACCTGGATTTAGGGAGTAATGTGAAACCTGTAGTAAAAAAGTCATTTCATACTAAAACACACATTGTAGCTCCAGTAAATACAAATCAACACAAACAATCAACAAACCAGACCTGGCTGAAAGTGTAAAACAAATCCATTCAAATATTCACAAGTTGCTTGGGTTAATATAATCTGGTGACTGTAAGCAAAACCCTCTTGCCACTCGGCAGCCATGTAACATCTATTCTAAAAAACTGCATGTAAAGAATCTCATCAAATTATCTGTTTCAAATTGTTACTTCTTTTTTTTTGCAGATTTTGTCCCATCACAAAGTTTTTCAAAAGCTTTTTACTCTCTGGGAGGTTTTTTTCTAACACCATCTTTAGTTTTGGGAATTTCTCTCAGAATTTGTTGAGCTTCTTGTGTCTCTCTCTCTGGCGCTCTTACAATGCCGCTGCTGTAAACACTTCTATACAACAGTGCCGTATTCGCTGGATATTTAAAGGAAAATATAAAGCACATTACACTGGCATTTGAATATTGCACATTAACAGGCAGCGAGTGCTAATATAAACGCTGGATAACGTCACAGTGTAATTTGACAGTACATTTTCTTTTACAGCAACGTTTTTACTACTGGTTATTTGATGATCCAGCATAGTCAAACCAAGTCATATGAATGGCTTCTGACTCTTTCCCAGGTCTGTTTCAATAAATACGTATGTAGTGACAAATCTCACAGTTGCCAGGTTTATACAGCTATTTGTAAATTGCTCAAGAATCTGTGTAGCTCAGTATCGAAATGAGTCACTAAATACTTTTTTTACACTGAAAAATGAAAAGAGAAAAACATCAGAAGATGGGGGCAAAACCAGATGTTCATTTTTTTTTCTCAATTCAATTTAAATGAATGATTCTGACATGGCAGAAATTCGTAGTCTTGTAAGGTGTCCTGGAAGCAACAGCAGTAGTGACAACACCAGTCATTTACAGCACAGTAGTAGTAGTAGTAATAATAATAATAATAATAACTATTAAAATTCAACTCAGCAGACTGCTAAAAGTTGCCCATCGCTTTTCATATGGGACCACATTCAAAACCAGACCTTAAGCCCTTCACTGAGGTCTAAACACTCAGTGAAGCATTGAAAGACTCAAAATTACAGAGTAGGAGTTGGTTTGTACAAAAAGCTGCAGTTGTAGCTGTCCAAGCCTAGAAAATATGTCAAAAATGCAAACTTCAGAGCACAATGTAATAATATTAATGTCACTTTTTTTGTTGTTGCATGCACTGGAAACTCAGAAGGATCTGTTAATCAATCCAAATGGATCATTTAACATTTACTAAGTAAAAGTCTGTAAGTGAAAAAGTTCAGACACTGTCTCTGAAACCAAAACAATTGAACCTGATAGAGTGGAAGGGGGTGACAGATGGCAGGAGTTGAAGGTAGCCCTGGTTTCTACACATTTGTCCGACACTTTGGGAAAATGGGTCCTCCTTCAAGCCTTCTCTTTCTTACTGTAGACAGAGGGAAAATGGAAGGTTACAGGAGAAAGAAAGATGAAAGACAACATCAACCTCATCATCTTAAGCAACAGCACAGCAAAGCTGACCTCTTTAACTGACAGGAAGCAAGATAGCTGACAAAAAAAGCAAGGCAAAAAGAACAGCACAACAAATTGGTGGCTGCAACGTGTAAGAAGAGTTCTTTGTAAATAAATACACAGGACAAACGTAAGCAAGTGGAAAGAACAGGACAGTGTCTTCTTAAATGTGACCTTAGGAAATTGTCAGTAATTACTTTGTGGTTATTGCGCACAATAAAACAGAATATATGTTCATCTCTGAAGAAAATTCTGTCTCAAGATCACGTAATAATGCATGTTCAACAACCAGAAACTAATTACTAAAAAGTGATCAGACTCCACTAGAGTCCTGTGGGTCCACTTTTGGGGCTTTTGAAAGGAGTGAAAAAACAGGAGGAACCAAATTCTTCCAAAAATGCAGATAAAAAGAGCAGAAAGACCAAAGACTAATCACTCAAAGTCAGTATAGAAAAATACAGCATAATTTCAAAGTCAAATTCTGTGCTATGAGATTCTTTCTTTTTTTATACAGGTAGTTATCTCATCTACATGTTTCCAAAATTGCAAGATTTTTGCGCTATTTCAGGAATGCCGTGGGACTAAAGAGCAGTCTCCATAAGCTAGAGATGATTAAAAGAGTGAAGATGTGGACAAGCAACAGAAACTCTCAGAAGAGTATGACAGGAGGCAGCAGAGCTTCCGGTAGTCCGGAAAAGAACTGGGAGATGTTGGCAGCAGAAAGGCAAGGCTGAGCGGTCATACAGTGTGTGACTGTACTGTACTTTTTTTTGTTTTTTACTTAGTCTTAGACTTGAACTTTTTCCCAAAGGCCCTCTCCAGCTCAGGGACAGATAGAGTGAGGGTGAAAGAGCCGTCTGTCTCCGACCTGACAACCCGGGCTTAAAGATGACGTGGGGAAGAGAAAGTATCATAAATGATGTAAAGTGGTTTTGAACATCATATATATATATATACACAAAATACAAGAAGATAGTAAGACCATTTAAAACAAAACACAAACAAAATCATATCCACATCTAATTTAGTTTTGAAGCTACATTCTGTAGTGTGAATGTTACAGCAATTGAGTCAGAGAGGATTTATTCTGCCCTAGTTTGTTGTACAAAGTAAATATTTTGGGGAAAAAAAGTTGAAAATCAGGTCAGCAAACACAACAATTACTGGTGAAATTTGTGCATGACAGGAAACACTCCACTCACTCGCTTCATTATGTTCTCTCTCACGCTCACAGGCTTTTCTTAGTGCTGAGGTCATAACTCAGGAAGGTACTGTTATGATTGGCTGAGGCCTTTTGGCAGCTCTACTGAGTAACCAACTGATGATATCACTCTCATTCTTCTATTAGCCTCTGATTGAAGTAGAACTCAAGGAGATATAGTGATGATAAAGTGCACTCATGCCCATACTAACGTCTAACTCTGCCAAATGAAACATTACTAAAAGACATAACTAAAAGAATGAAAATAAACTTTAATTAGAGTATTTACTTGACGTTTTGTCAGTTCGAGACCTAATGCCACATCCATACAGTGATCATGCAGGTGTGTGTACCCACCCAGGTCATTGTTGTTCATCATGGCATTGGAGCCCCGGAGGCGTGGACCCTGCTGGGTGAAATGATACCCAAACTTCAGCAATGTGGTGTTTTTCTCCAGCATGTTGGCTATTTCCATCTCCACTTTGTTGCCTAAGGGCTGACTCTGGAGTTCACAGAGAGTGCAGGAAAAGATAGTGGAGAGAGGAAGACGAGAGAGGAATAGATGATTAAAGGCAAAAAAAAAAAAATCAGTGGTGGGATTGAGGGTTTAAAAAAAAGTTGATTTCAATCAATAACTGGACTTGAAAAGCAAAAAAGAAAGGGCCAAGAACAAGGAGAGAAATAAAAGTAGGCATTAGTGGGCAATGAGTCACAGATGTCCAACTATGGCATATGAGACATTGCAATGCAATCAGCGAGCATTAGACCAAAGTGGCAATGATGAACTGTGTACACTGCATGACATACATACTGTTCCAGTGTGTTTAAATCTGTCTGTACTCTATGGAGGGTGTGAGCTTTTACCTGATTGTCTATCTTGAGCTCCAATAGTGTGGTGTTATTCTGCAGTGACTCTATGAGGGCCAGGATTCCAGTCCCTGTTATGAAGTTGGACTCAACGTTCAGACTCTTGAGCATCGTGTTAACTTTCAACATCTCTGCCAGGGCCTGAGAAAACACACAGCACTTTGTATTCAGGAACAGCTTTGAAGCCAGGCTGTTCTTGTCAGGCTTTCGTTGTGGTTTATTCCCCGTTTTGATTTTGATTTTCTTCTGTTCATATTGTACAAATGTCTCCACTGTTTCCTACTCTTAGTCTCTGTTTTGTCTGTGTTAGTTCCCTCGTCTTGCTTGTTTCCATCTCCTGCTTCATTTTGGTAACTGCTATTCCTTGTGCGTCATCTGTGCCCTCACTTTCTGTCTTTGTTTTTCTTCTCATTTCCTGCTTGTTTCCATCTGTGTCTTCACCTATCCGAGTTCTTTCCACTGTGCTATCTGCCACTTATGTCCACCTATGTCTCATTCTAAAATCTGGCCACTGAGGCAGGCTGCCTCCTGGCTGCATGCCAAATATCCTTAGGCAAGATACTAACCCCATGTTTACCTACTGGTGGTCAGAGGGCCCGGTGGCGCCAGTGTCCAGCAGCCTCGCCTCTGTCAGTGCGCCCCCGGGCAGCTGTGGCTACAATGTAGCTTGCCATTGCCTGTGTGTGTGAATGACTGAATGTAGTGTAGTGAATGTAGCTTTGGGGTCCTTAGGGACTGAGTAAGGTGCTATACAAATGCAGGCCATTTACCATTTTCCCTTTGTCTGATCATCTGCTTGACTCCACATGTACTCCTATTTGCGTCACATTTCTTTTCTGTATTGTTGGGACTAATTTTCCTTGTTGCCTTGAGTTTGGATACCTTGCTCTTGTTCTGCAGAGCTTTTTCTTCTTTTTGTTTACGCCCTGCTTTTTTACCCTCTTTGTGTATTTTGATCTGTTTAGGAGGAACTTTGTCAAACCACAACATGTTTATTTTAATCTTCATAGTGTTTGTCAAAATAGGACTCATCCCCATTAATGATAAAAAGTGAAAAACTGGGAAGCTGTTAAGATAAAAAGGAAAGAGAACTGAAAAAAAAAAGCAACTTAGGTTGAAAAGCATTAGACTTACAAATGCTACAGGGTCATTGCTCCTTGTTCCTACAATACTGAACCTCTCCACCACTGTGTTCTTCATCAGAGCCTCGGCATATGCCTTCAGAGTTGGGATAGGAATATTCTGGGTACAGAAAAACAAAAAAATTAAATGTTGAAAAACTTATTTCTATGTATTTTTGCATTTTCCCTTGTCATAAACAGTAAAAAATATTAATTGCTGTGATTCATAAGGAAACAAATGCTTGAAGTTTATGTATAAAACTTGAAACCAAATCCAATATACATCCAAATTTAAATATAATTTTTATAATAAATATAGATTATTAAACCTGCACTGTCTCTCTCTTTTTTTTTTTTAAACACAACCCAGCATTCTTACCTTGATGTTATTGAGGTTGACTTCTACCAGGTCGGGATCATTCCTCTTTACTCTCAACAGAGTTTCCTCTACATCAGTGGAGTTGGGCTCCTCATCAGGGACTGGCTTGTACTGGGTACACTGGATCACACCTGGGGTGCAACACACGTATAATATAAAAATATATTTACAAAATCAGACTGCTGATGGATAAATTTGCTTTACTCAGGGTCTGATTGGACTAAATCTCATTTCAAAAGCAGCACAAATAATAAGCCTCTCCATTAACTAGTTGACCCAATTTCTGAATCTGCGACTCTAAACATTGTAAACAGCATTTTCTGGATGATTGCTTGAGACTTTGCTTGTGTCAAGCAAAGCGAATACATTTATTTGGTGAAAGTATAGTTTTCCACATTCAGTGTTGCTTTTGGTCGTGGAGTACTCTGCTGGTTCAGAAATGCTGTTCTTCTTCTCCATGCCTGCCCCCTTTTTTTATGGTAATCCAGGCTAAACATCTGTGCAGCTTCACATTTATTTTACTGACAGGGGATTGGTATCAATCTTAAGAAGGTGATTAAGCGTACTTCCAACGAGAGTTTTTTGCAGAGCACAGTACAGGCAGAGTATTAGTATTTGGCCACAATAACCTCAGGAGATTTTCAAAATGATATTTTTTATACTTTGCTGTACAGAGTACCTCGTTGTAAGTGCTCTGCAGCAGAAGATCTAAAATATGGAAAAACTAGAATCCGTTTGGTTTACCAGCACGGGAATTGTGCACCTACTTTAGTAATGGATTGCAAATCTCTGAGATTCAGTCATTAAGGTTAATATGGACCAATGCTTTTGTAAAAAGGGGTTTTGTGCCCTCCTCTGTATCGCTACTCAAAACAGAGTGACAACTTCAGCAGGAGACTCTGGGTTGCTTTATAAGGTAGTCATATTTGGATGTGAGATGCTCAGTCTCTGTTTAGAGCTGGAAGCGTAACTATAGGATGAGCCACCACACAAGATAAACAATAGCTCATTAACCTGTGAAGGAGAGCTAAAAGTAATCCCAGAATTCAATCGTTTACACGATGTAGCATAACATGAAGTGCAAACAGATGAACCAGCGATAGTGTATTCCTGGCAGGATAATAGCAAAATGTATGTGTGCTTATACTCTTTTATCTACCTATCTGGTTTACTTAACCTGTTTTACATTATTTGTGCATGTATCAAGTGCAAAACAGAAAAAAAATATGAGCATACACTGTTTTTGGTAAAATAAACATTCTGCAAACATGAGATCACACTTTATTCCAATCCAACTGCAGCATTTTTCTTAAATGATGCAATTTTTTGGTACTAGTTGAGTGATCTGCTTTATTTTAGAGCCCTTTTACTTGTTCCTCAAAAGTCCCTGTAATTCATGTGTACTTGTGTCCAGTAGTATACATTTTGGTAGGTGAGTGCAAGCATGTATGTGTTTCACATACTGTTAAGGCCTTGCTTGTTGACTATAGTGCTGCTGGCCAGGGCTTCATAGTACTGCTGGTTACTCATCAGCGTGTGCATGCCCAGGATGGCTGGAAGAAGAGAAGGAGACTGAAGAATGAACATTTCTTGAAAAAAAAAAAAAAGGATTGAGAAAGAGGAAGCAAGAGAGCAGTGCTGACACTGAGTGGACTTATTGATTGGCTTGCAACCTTACACCAGACCACCATGCACCAGTCGCTTTCAGCATTGCAATCAAGTCAAACATGAGAAAAAAAAAAGCTCCCGTATACTGGCTTTGACTTCTGCAACCACAGCTGACCTTCTGCTCTTAGCAGGCTGAAGCCAAATCAACGTGCAAGATACTTTATTTGTTATAAAAAATAATGAGATATCAGCCAGCCAAGGCAAAAAATCTATGATGTGCTCTGGCAGCAGGAAATCTGAAATATGTTTCCAGCCAAGCAGTTACTCTGAGGACACAATTAACGGAGCATCTTTGCCTTGTTTCTTTGTCAGAGAGATTGAGAGTATCTGACTGTTTATTTGATTACTGAATGCAGTGAAGTGCGTGTATTGCAACAAGCTAAGAGGCTTGTTCACCACGAGCATTTCTCATTTTAAATCCCCGTCTTCTACCAGCAGCAGGGTTGGATAATATTTTTGTCACACATGAAGTATGCATTGTCTTGTAATTACTCTGACAGTGGTTAAAACTAAATGTGTTTACATGGTATGAGTAAGTATACTTCCCACAAAGTCAACTCACTGTCATCCTTAATATAATACGTCCAGCACATTGACTGCAATAACTCAGGCAGGCTAAAAACAAACAAACAAAACAGACAGGAAAACCCCTGAAACATCAGCAACACTGTTTTAATGGCAGCTCGAGTTTCTCCTGATGGTATGGACATTGAAAAAGTTATTATTTTATAATTTAAGGCAAAGAAAAATAACTTCAAACACTATTCAGACAAAATCCAGCAAATGACAATAACTGCAGTGTGTAAAGTAGAGCTGCGTCATATCATATCATACCTGCTATAGCGGTGTCATGCACTTACATTCCCAACTGCCGCCACCTGCAAGCTGCAAGCTGATAAAACACTGGGTGTTTTCTACATCGTCATTAATATAATTTTTACAATTTTTTTTGTGATGTAGCTTACATCGTCCTTCCCCACTATGCAAAAAAAATGTACCAGCAGGTCCAATCGCCCTGCATGAACTAAGTTTTTTGTTAAATACAATGCACGGTCCGCACATGCAACGACACGCCGACTACAAAGTAAAACAAAAAGCACAAATGTCACAGAAGACCAGAGTTGTTCCATGCAGGACTATGTGCAGCGTACAGATACCCTGGGCGGTGATGAACTAATAGATAGAAAGATCCAGAAAATGAAGGTACGGATGATGATGATGAAGAGTTGAATGGTAAGAGTGGAATGAAGATGAAAGGAGTGCTAGAGGAAATAAGTGAAAGTTAGATTAACAAGGGCTAGTTAAACCTATGGTAGTCTACTTACATTCATTAGTGAGAGCACGCCTAAAATCTTCATATAGAAATATATAGAAACAACTCTTGAAATGGAGAAATGTTACAGTTCAGCCACATGTGCAGACGTAAAATCCAATTAAACTTAAGTACTTTAATTTGTTTGTTTTCTTGGAAAAATTAGCCTACAGAGAAAATTAGCCTACAGAGAGATGTTGTGTGATAGTTACCTGCAATATCACAGAGTTCAGCATCGGAAGCACTGGACAGGGCTTCTTCTAACTCCGGCTCCAGAGTCACAGACTCTATGATTGGATCCACTCTTGTTTTAGGCACCCAGGCTTTTCCTGTAATATAAGGGGGGATATATATATATTCAAAGTAAGTGACTGCAAGCACTACTATTACAATGACAATTATCAGTAACTTTAATTTAGCATTTAGTTTAGAAGTTACATTTGACATACTCCAGTTTTTCCTGGATTTTTGTCAATTTAGGGACCTCTATGGCTACAGATTTGCTTCTTAAGTAGCATTTTTTCACAAAATTACCCAAAATTTCTATATATTCTGTGTGGTGTGACCACATGCAGTGGAAATGCAACTTTATAGTATATGCACTGAATTTCTCTCTAAGGTTGAATTTGTTGAACTGCTGTGTATTAAGGTTATTAAAGTTAAAAATAAAACTAAAAACTAAAGTAATAAAAACTGAAACTAGGCACGAACACATATTTTTGTGAACTAAAATGAAAAAAAACTACACCTTTGAAAAAAAATAAAACTGATGGAAAAGATTTTGTGAATTTGGAAAACTAAACTAAAATACAATTACAGATGAAATGTCTTTACTTTTTGTATTTGTTAATGTGTTAAAATTTGTCATTTATTATAAACTGCCTGATGAGGATTTGATGAATGCTTCTATTGAGGCCAAAAAGTCGAAAAGTTTGTATTTACATTGTAATATCTACACTGATGTTTCATAGTTCTTGCCTCTGGCGTTTGCCGTAAATAAAATAACAAGAAATAAAGATTGAAACTAATGAAAGCTAAACATTTTCAAACAATAAAAGCTAAACTGAAACAAGCAAACCCACTCTGGAAACAAACTGAAACTAAACTGGATTAACAAAAAGTCAAAATGAAGTAAAATTAAAAACTAGTAAGAAAATAAAAAATAAAAAACTATGATAACTCTGCGATATATTGTTTTTATTTCTTAAAATAATGGCATAAACAACTTTTTTTCATTGCTACTACCATTAACAAAGGCTCACTCTTTTGTCATAGAAAGTCATGTATGAAAAAGACAGAACAAAAGCTAAGTAAATGTGAATTACAAAAACAAAGAAGACCATCAACCTGTTAGAACCTATAACTAGTACTGAATACAGTACATACAGTAGTATGGAATTTGAATGTAACTGTCAGTCTAAGGTGAGGACATGTAAGACAAGGTCAGTCCAGTTGCCAAAATCAGTTATGTTACACAAGCTGTGTGAGGTGAGTATGCTTTCATGTCACACCTGACAAGCTGCTGACTCTAGAAGCCCAGAGATGTCTTTACCGATAGGTTTGCTATGTCTGTATTTGTGTGGCTTGCTCCTCGAGTTTCAGCCAGACATTTTTTTCTGATGCTCATATGAACACATGGCTCTGTGAGAGCAGTTTTTGGAAAGTCACGTGTGACCTGTCTTGGTTAAATGTCATGGCACCACTGAGAGCACGGCAAAAGCTGTGGCAAGTGGAGTGAGTCCCAAAGCAACAACACCAGCAAATCAGAACGTAACAAAAGTCAGAAAAACAGAAAGAAACTTTATAGAGTTTAGAGTCATGTCTGTGTCTACGCTGTGGATTTCTGATAAACCGAGTTTTAGTGTTAACACCTGAGCTACAGGTTGGCTGTTTTCACTGATCAATTTGCCTTTTAAAAATCCATCCATGAGTCCAGAGATATTTGCTTAATTACAAAGTAACACCATCATTTAAATCATATTTAAGGAAGCTTTAAACAGCTTTCATTTATTAATAATAATAACAATAATATCTTAATAAAAAGATTAATCATGAAAACATTTGCCTGATTAACTTGATTTTTATTAAACACACCAGTTCCTACCTCTCTTCTCCCCGGTGTAGGGCACCAGGTCTTCTCTGTCAGGATGCTCTTTGGCCTGTTTCTCCAGATGGGCCAGGAGGTTGTCTCTTTGAAACGTGCCTGTTGGTGCTTTCTTTGTCTGGTCCTTCTGGCGCATCCCAGCAGGCAACAATGCATTCTAGACACGAATTTACATTTACAATATGTTGGTATTGCATGTTGGAAAAATAACCCATACTTTTGCTAATTTGACCAGTCTATGCTTTACACTGTGTGAAGTGTGAAGGAATTTTTAGATGCTTTTAGGCAGACTTGCTCCCTGCTTTACAATTCCGATCCAGCCTAATGTAACTCAACATTCATTCCCCAGAGAATGAATCCTTGAGTTTCCCAAAGTGCCTTTCTACTCATTCTATCATGTTAAAAAGGTTTTTGTTTTTTTTCCACAGAACTTGGTAGCAGAGACTGTATACGCTCCAAGAAAGAAGAAAGAAAGAAAGTGTACTTTATTGATCCCCGTGGGGAAATTCCTCTCTGCATTTAACCCATTCACTCAGTGAAGCAGTGGGCAGCCATTGGGCGCCCGGGGAGCAGTGTGTAGGGACTGTACCTAGCTCAGGGGTACCTCAGGGTAGCTGTTCAGGGGAATCGAACCCCCAACCTTCCGATCATGGGGCCACCACTCTACCTACTGAGCTATCCCTGCTAAGAAGCCAATCGCATAGCAACAACTTGGTCTCAATCATGCAGACATGGTCAAGACTACCTGGTGAGGTCTAAATCGAGCACCAGAACTGGAGTCAAAGATGATTTGAGCGACTTTGAATGTAACATTGTTGTTTTTGCCAGACAGGCTGGTCTGAATCTTTCAGTGAGTACTCATCGACTGGGATTTTCCCACACAGTCATCTCTGATTTATAGCACAAGACCACACCTGCTGTCAGCTAAGAACAGATGAGATGATGATGAGATGATGAGATTTTTTGCTGCTCCAACATTAACGCTCCATGTCATAAAGTTCAAATCATCTCAGTGACAGTGAGCTCACTGTACGCAAATGGCCTCCACAATCACAAGAGCTCAGTTGAGCATCTTCAGGTTGCGGTGATGTGCCGATAACAAATCCGAAGCAACTGTGTGATGCTATCGTGTAAACATGGACCAAAATCCCAGAGGAATGTTTCCTGCACCATGTTGAATCCGAGCTACAAAGAATTAAAGCATTTCTGAGTGCTTTAACTAAGTCCAACCAAGTATCTCATATCTCACCTCATAAGGTGTCAAGATGTCTGTAGCTTCTGAAAAGTAAAGTGACTTACACCTGCATTCTTTCTAATGGTCAACAGGGCAGCTTCTTTGACTGCAAAAGCAGGGCAGTGCAAAGTCTATGATAAAATTACACTAATCAGACTTTTCAATCACATCCTTCAAGCACAGCATAGCATATCTTTCTTTATATTAGGATTAAAGTCAGTAAGTAGCTTTGTTGGCACCGGATCACTTAGTTTATGTTTCCCTATGTCTCTGTCAGCAGTTATCTCATGCTAAAGTTGTCTCGAACAGGTGCTTATGTGGTTTTATTTTCTTTATCTTGTTCAAACTTCTCTTTTAGTTAAGTCTTGTAATATTTTGAAGCAAAACATAAAGCTAAGAACAAACGACTTTGATTTTTTTTTCTTCTGTAACAAGTTTTATGAGCTGCTGAGTGAACTGTATGATGTCAGGCCTAGACAGCATGACACCATATAATATTCTCTCTCTCTCTCTCTCTCTCTTCTCTAGCTCAACACAGGACCAAGAAATCTCCCAGACCATTAGTGCACACCAAGTTATTTTGAACCTAAAGCAACATTCAAAACCATGCTCTTAGAAGTGCTACTTATAGCTGCATATCTTATCTGCTTCTCAGCACTTAGGGGCCTCCCTTTCTTTATAAGTCGGTTTCTCTTTTTGCTTCTCACTGTTGTTCATCTTCAGTCAGACTCTCTCCTTACATTAGGAGCTTCCAAATAATAATCTGGTTGTACAGCAATTTAAAAAAAAAACAACAACCGAACATACCCAACACTTTGCGCAGTCAGCACAATCTAAGATATCACCAACACAAAGCTTATATCAGCTGTAGATTACAGCGCTCAGTCCCAGTATTTTATTTTTAACAGCACGAGTCGGCCTCTGTTTCCCTCAGCAACCATCAACTAACAGTCACATGTACAATACGTGTGTCTATGTGTCTATGAGCGTGAAGCTGAGACGATATCATTTCACGATATACGACACATCAAGATCCATTTGAGATACCAGCATATTTATAACGCAAATAAAAATTACCACCTGCAACAAATGCAAACAAACATCAGCACAGATTTCAACTTTCATACGCTCTAATAAATATATCCAATAATACCTGCCAGCAAAACACCACCTCCACCTTCTCAGGAAAATATCCGTCTATTCTGTAGCTACAGGCTCTCTACAACTTTCTTAAAATGGGAAGTTGCAGTCTCAGAGCCATTTTGATGGTTTAATCTATGCCAAATGTTTCACTTTGATTGGAACTTTTTCTACGTGTGATTTGTATTAATCCACACAATCAAACAACTGAGTATGGAGCAAGCTTGGGTCAGTACACTTGTGAGGCAGTACTGTGTGTTGTAAAACACAAAATGTTCTTGTAATTGTTGCTGAATAATCAATAATGGCAGACATGCGTGCAAACTTTCAGTCTGTTTACTGGAACTGATGTGGGAAACCGTGCCGGGAATGTTACAGTCAGAGCAAATGGGCACTTTACTGTTGTGTAACAGGTGACCCTCATAAACAGGCACAAACAAGGTAAGGACATACGCACTGCTTCTCTCTGTTTCCTCTGTTTACGTCAGCGAGTCCCTGCAGTCACTCACTGCTGGCATGAGCCTCGCTAACAAACACACGCACATATCTACTCCACATTATACCCTTCGAGTCATCCCCTTGGCACTGAGGGGGACTCCGGTCTCTTTATGAGGAGTTAGACATTCATCTGGCAGCTATTGCAGCAGCTGTCCACACCTCGACCACTGATTTATTACTCGGTGGTCTGTCGGTGGACGAGAATCAAATGCAGAAATAAACATATCATAAAAAGCAGCAGTGAATAAACACGAGTGCTGATGTAGTATTATAAGTGCTTTAGCTGTACTTAATACAAAAGGAGAAATACTTTGAATAACAGGGAAGACTAAACAGTAACAAGAGGTTATTATTTTAAGGTTAGTATTTTACTTTTTCACACTTTCACTCTTCATTTTTCTATTGTTTCACCACTTTTACATGTATTACTGAATCAAACACTGCCACAGACACAAAAGAACTTCATGTTTAGTTGTAATACTTTTACACAGAGAATCTAAGCTGCGCTCAGCAACAATACAGTCGCGGTCCAAAGTTTGCATACGCTCAATGTGGTAAAAGCTCTAAATGATTTATTTGAACTGATATTTTTCCAGGGTGGAATGAATATACAGCATATATCTTTAATGACTTCAAAACATAAAAATAAAGAATAAAGAATTTATTTCATTTAGGATTTTCTCTAATTCACACAAGGTCAAAAGTGTGGATGACACCCCAACTAATATTTGGTTAAACGTCTCTTAGAAAGTTGCACCTGGAATAGATGTTAAACAAATTCTTCTAAGCAAAATTGGTGGAGCTCATTTATTTTGGCTCATTTTGTGGCACGGAACCAGCTTTACAGGTTATCCCAAACATTTTCAACATGGTTAAGGCTGGAGGTTCGGGAAAGCCATTAAAGAAGCTTAATGCTGACCTGTTTTATTTGGAACACCCAATTCTGTCCATGTTTAGTCTAGTGTGAAGTGAAGTTGAAGAATTCCATCTATTTGAGTATTGTAACAGTACCACTAGCAGCAAAACAGCCCCAGAGCATGATGCAACCACCACCGTGCTTGAGAGTTGGTACAGTGTTCATAGGTTTGAAAGCCTCATCTTTACTTCTCCAAACATGCCTGTTGCCATTGTGGCCAAAGAGCTCAATCTTTGTCAAATCTGACCAAAAAACTTTTACCAAGAGGGATTTTAACTTGTCCATGTGGGACCCTCTCAGTGCATGGTGATGTAAAAACTGGCTTCCCTGTGGCAGTTGGTATTCCAGTAGTTTCTGGTTTCTGGTAACCTTGAACTTGAGGTTTTTCCTGAACAACCATCCCTCATCTGAGGGTGACAGTTTGGGTTTTCTTCCAGACCTTGACAAAGTGGTGACACATCCAGACAAGATGTGCTTACGCATAATTGTTTTGAATCATCTTGGAATGTGCACTTGTTTAGAAATGGCTCCAAGAGACCTTCCCAACCTGTGCAAATCTACTCTTTTCTATTGCTCTGAGTAGTGACCAATATTCAGAGCAATAGACAACTGCTATGAAACAAATCCTTTTTATGCTGGCAAAGAGAAAGTACCAGTTGTAGGCCTTGGCTTTGTCAATTTAAAAGAGACTATGGAACCTTCAGCACCGCTTATGAAAAAATGTAAGTGAGTATATGTATATTTTATTTTATTTTGTATATACTTTTGACCGGTGTGGATCAGAGGAAATCCAAAATAAATTGCTGCTTGTGCACCCAATTCTTGTTTTTACAAGTCATTAGAGATATATGCTGTTATAATCAGGGGTGCACATAAGTGGTCCCCAAGTGCGCATTCGCTGTCAAAATAAAAGATGCGCACCAGATAAGAAGTTGCAACGCGTGTTTGCGTACATAGGATTTTCTGGAGGAGGAAAGACATTTGTTTAGAACTCTTAAAGATGCCGAAGAAGCAAGCTGCTTTAAGCAATTACTTTAGTGTTTCTCCACCTCCAAAGAAATGTCAGAAGGAGTCCAAACCGCAAAACAACCGCATATTCTCAGAAAAGTAGTTGCAGGAGGTGAGCTGGCTTCAAACAAATGATAAACGCACAGAGATGTGGTGCAGAATATGCCGTGAAAATCCCACTGAAGCGGACAAAAACAGTGCCTTTTATATGTAAGCAAACGCGCGTTGCAACTTCTTATCTGGTGTGCGTCTTTTATTTTGACAGCAAATGCGCACCTGCGGACCACTTATGTGCACCTCTGGTTATAATCAATGCACCCTGGGAAAAAATGTCTCAAAGAAAACATTAAAAACTCAAAATTATCATGACATTCATTCCCATGATGAGTTTATGTAAACTCCTGACCATAAATGCCATGGCTTTGTAGACTTTTGTTTTCAGTCCTTTCCTTCAAACATATTTTAACAATTGCTACTGTACTACCACTATAAAAACTAAGATTTATGTTATTTTAAAAACAGAAATTACCAGCTAGCAGCAACTCAAACGAAAGCACACTGCAGCTCCAGTGATATACAATGTGATACATTACATTGTGCTGTCTGCTGAGCATGTATGCCCCCATTAATCCCCACTGATACTAACATACTGACATAGCTTCTCCTTATGGACTTCAATGTTATAAACTTACATCAGGATCCAGCTCCTCTAATTCATCCTCTAACCGCTGCAACTCTTCTTCTGACAGTTTCTTCAGCAGCTCGTCCTCGTCTATGTCTCTGTACTTCTCCATCTCCTTCCTCAGAAGCGCCATTGTGGACAGCACACCTGGGGGGGGAAAAAAAGAGTATAATATCTTGGAAAACAACAGAAATAAAATATTTACACATCAATTATGAGCAATGACGGCAATCAATTTGACAGTTGTACTGTTTGAGGGAATATACGTGGCAATAAAGCATAACAGTATTTATTATTTTCTTGTATTCTCTTTGCTCTTTGTTATTCTTGGGATGTGTTCAACATGTGAGGCATATTCAAACTGTTCTCTCACCTCAGCAACGCCTCCAAATGAAAAAGGCAAACTGTAGGAGATCAGGAGCCTAGATTATATCTATGGATGAAAACAACCAAGAAGCGAGTAATTAAAATGAATGTTGGAATAACAGTGGGTTTGAAGGATCAGAGAAAAGCAACACAATGCTTTAACAGTGGAATTCAGAAGACAGACTGACCTTAATGACCCCCACCTCGGGTAAAATAACAGCAAAGGCAGCCAAGTGCCCGTAGCCCTCTTGGGAAAGCAATTACACCTGAAAGAGGCACAAGTAAATAGTGTGAAGAGAGATTAATAGCTCGCAGAATTAGAAAACAATAGTACGTCATGAACATGGAAAGAAGCGAAACATCATATTTCTCTGCTTGTCATCTCTTCTCTACTACTCCGATTTCCCAGAAAGCAACTGTCCGGAAATACAGAAGGCTTGAAAATACGAAATTCTTTGAGTGCAAAAGAAATGTAGGAGAATTTGTCAAACATTTTCACTGGTAATGCTTTAAATGTTCTTCTTTTCATTTCTCTTATATCGTCACATAGTTTTTGAGAGCTGTTGGAGTGTTCATTTTCATGCCCTCAAAAGGTTTCCATGTGCCACACTCACATCTTTAGATTAAATATGATGCTACAGCCAGCAGGTTAGTACAACTTAGCACAGAGTGGAAAGATAAAAAGCGCTAACCTAGGCCTTCTCAAAGCTAACAATTCCCATCTACCAGCAAATACACAATTAAGCTGTTAACAGAATTGCTAGATGGAACTGCTCCTAGCCAAGACAAGTCTGGTATATAACTGCATCTTTAAGCTTTTATGGAGGTTTTTGAATGACTTAATACTAAATATGAATGAGTTTACAAATGCAGACAGGTGGACAAACTGCACCGTTAATTATTATTTAAGGAGAAATATTTTGAAGCCTTCCTAGGTGTTTTATTATTATTCTCTGCAAGAATTTGTCACCATTTCAATTTGATTCAATTAGACAAAAAACACTGATTGAATTGGTTGGTTTTCACCTATTTGCTTGACACTTGGTAATTTTGCACATATCCTGTTGCTGATCATCTGCTTATTTTCTCCAAGTGTTGCCCTGAAAACTTTATAAATGTTGGATAGGTCAAATATGCTGTCCGTAAACGTGTCTTGCTCTTGTTTCTTTCTCAAACAGCTATGAAGACTCATTCCAAATCTTGCTCTCGAACTCTGTCTTGGCTCTGTGACCAGATGACTGAAAATGGATGAGCTACAGTGGAACATTTGTGGACCAGAGCACCAAACACTGGGCGCGCACACGGTCTCTAAGCCCCAAGTTCCTTAAAGCTCTAGTTCAGACTCTGACAAGTGTTGAGCTGCTACCAATGGATGCCCACATAACAACATTAACTATAACTTCACTGAGCTTGTATCAGGTGAAGGGAATGATCTCAAATTAGGCAGAAAATATAGAGCTGGAGCTCAAAGTGCAGAAAATTGTGTTTTTGAGGAGCACAAATGTGAAAGAAAGCCTATCTTTTTGATCTTAGGGATGTCACCAAGTGTGCTTTGGCTTTAATCCTAAAAAGCGGGGTCAAGCGTGTTGTTCTTTTGTTCTGCTTTCTCTTTTCACTCCATGTCAAGACAAGTTTCCAAAACCAGAAATGAAGAACTGGGCTGCACTCCAAATAGCACTGCAAGCCCACTGGAAAACTGCAACCTGTTCTGATGATATCGAACAGACACTTGCCTGTATTTAGAACATTTCTATAAGCCTCTGCTTCATTACAGGACATTCACTGAGCAGAAAGAGCAAAACAACTAAAAGTGACCTGAACCAGAATGTACCCTCTGCAGTCATAAACATCTAACTTGCCTCTTGCCCTTGAAAGCAGGCCTATTCAATCCTTAAGCCTCTAAGAATAGCTACACTGATACGGGATAATTAATCAAGTCAGATATGTGTAAAACCTTGGGAGGGCAACTGGTCTTGCATGAGCACAGCCTTTCACTAACTGAGAGCAGAAGATAAAAAGAAGATTTCAGAACTAAAGTCTTTTTAAAACTGCGTGTATACAAGTTAGCTACTCCTGGGTGAAGGCAAGATTTTTTTCAGTCATGAAGTACGCAGAGATGTCTGCAATATACACAAATCCTCTCAGAGTGAAGAAAACTGAAATATTCATCACAGAAATGAGCTCATGCAGCAATATTAAAGTAACTTGATTTTTCTTTTTGCAACTCCTCGTTAACTGCTTTCAAACAGCATACAAATGGCACGTGAAGCCTTTGTAGCCATCTTCTACTGGCTGCTGAAATGACCTCCACAACATCTTTGTGCATAACTACTTCACAGATTCACATTCAAATATAAGCATAACTCTACATATCTAAAAAAGTCAATTAAAAGTGATTTTAATTGATTAAATTACCCCTAACATATCTTAGCTGCTCAGTTTGTTCTAGGTCTGTTGCTGAAATTGAATAAAACTACAATAATCACACTTAACTGTGCTCATTTTTGGGAAAGTTGAAGAATTAAACCCTAGTTTTGTGCCACACAATCTAAAGGAAAGATAGCAGTTGTAAAAATTGCACAGATATCTGAAATGTCCCAGCAGACAACAGCTGAGAGACAACTGTTCTCCTTTACTCAGCCACATGTCACAATGCATGTGGCAGAAAATAAGCTCTGTGGAAAGGATGGCGTGTTTTATTACTGCCACTCCAAAGAAAAGGCAGTTTGGTTTGTAGATTTAGACCTGGCATTGAAGTTGTGCATACAACCAAAACCATTAAACGCCACACGTTAAATAATCCTTCATTTTGCTGAGGACATTGAACACATCTGTGGCCACTTTTTTTTTTTTTTGCTTTGGGGCCAGCACAGAGTCATATATCATGATCTGTATACCAGACCAAGTAGCTCACTTGCTGCCTTGGACCTGGGGTCAGGCCATTTGTTCATTCTGCGGAGGTCAAAGTGTCATAATGTTTTTGTTAAGTGTAATATCACCAATGAGTGCTGTTATAATCCAGCTGATAATATAATACACGGCTAAACCAGGAGGTAAACAGCAGACTTCTGAAGCACCATTAAGAGCTGTGCTCATAAAATAAAAATGACTGACAAACAGAAGTTCCACAGCTTAGTTATTTCTAGAGTGGATGTGTGGAGGTCACAGAAAACCAGCAACTTTTGTATACTTCTGAACTCCTGTTTCTGCAAAGTTGTAATAACTTTAATAATTAAATTAAAAGATGTAGTTATGATTGGTCCAAATACAGTCACAATAATAATAATTAAAAAAACAAACAAACACCCAATCTGCATCTTTCAGTTTAATATTTAACCTGCGGCAGCCAAATAATGAAAAACAGAAACGGGGAACTTATATTTGGTGTTAATTTTTCCTAGAAAACCACTTTCCCACTTTCAGTAAATGTTAAAGTGTAATCCGGTTCACGGCTTTAACACGGAGAATTGACCTTAACTTACTTGATCGCTTTGCTGCCCGCAGTGTAATGTATGCATTAATTTCCCTACCTCCTCCAGCGCTATTTATAGCCGGCTGGTCCCGCTGGGTGACAGCAACGAATACTTTGACCAGATATGGTTTCCTTCACAGCCGCCTGGAGTCGCAGCAGTGCGAAGTACGGTCCTCTGCAAGCGCGCAACTCCGGGAATCCGCCAAAATCCCCCTAAATCAAACCGTCCATGACCCGCAGACAATCTTGAATCCAGAAGATTTCAGCGCTCACAAAGTTTCCTCCCCCGGCTCTGGTCGACTCTCTGTGGAACTGTTGGGACTGAATCTCATCTCCAGCAAAGGGCAAACCAAACTTCTGGGGAAGAGATCCTCCTCTCCTCGCTCACGGCTGCTGTGTCACTCCTGTGATGTCACGAAGATGCGCTGCCTCCATTATCGGACAATGGTTCACTATGTAGCGTAGCTCACGATAACGTTTATGGTTTACATTCGAGCTGCAAGAGTCTGGGTAGGATATCGGTTAGTTTGGTGACTGTTAACCACTTAAGTGCTGGACTCTGGATCCCTATTACTTTACTGTGCAATAAGTTATTGTATTCTTACAAGTACAGTGAGCAAACCCGTACCAATCAGTTTATATTGGTTCTGCAATAATTAAATTAAGGTTGGCTGAAGCGCAGACAGATGACTGTCTGTTAAAAAGTACTTGTATTTAAAACACTGTGTAGAATAAGTGGAGTAACAGATGTTTGTGCAGACACGTTACAGTATATGTTTCTAACACTGAAAACTCAAGTCCACTCAAATCCATTAAAATTGTGAAATTACAATTCAGTCAGATTCAGTTTGTACAGACAGCCAAATAAAACTGTTTAAAATACTCATCTTAATTTGGGTGAAGCTACAGTTCATAGTGTGTGTGTGTGTGTGTGTGTGGGGGGGGGGGGGTAAACAAGCAGCTCACTCTGAGCATTATTTACTTTAAAGGTAATATTACTGTATTACTGTATTTCATGTATAGATTCTTTTTAAAGCTACTTGAAGACATTTGCAATGCAGTTAGTCAGGTCAGGATAGCATGACAGATGTTTACTTGATTACACAGACATTATGTAGGACTAAGATAAGTAATGGATAACGGGTATCGATTTTAAATAACTGGACATGAATAATCTGAGCTTCTTTAATATTATAAAACAACATATTTCAAACTTACTAGACAGCTCTTTCGCTTGACAAAAGTGCCTTTAAAGGTTAGAAGAAAGGTAGAAATGTGAAATGTAAAAGTGAAATCAGGGGTTAAATGTGCAAACACTAACTTTACAACATTAAAACTATATTGTCCATTATACAAAATGATACTGGAAGGCAGAGGTTAAACTTGAAATCTTTATACGGTGCATGCTTTCTATATTTTGAAAATACACATCACACTTGCAAGAATCTGCTGACAAGAAATTGTTCATCCCCCCAATATTTGCCCAACAAACCGTTAAACTGACATTGATGATATAAGGAAAAATTTAATGGATTTATGACCCTACCTAGAAAATTTTAATCAGAATTAAACTTTTTGAGCCAGAAGGTAGGACACACATGCAAACCTCCTACAAAAAAAGAAAAAAAAGACAAGACAAAAAAAAAAAAAAAACAACCAAAAAACCCCCCAATTTTTTCAGAAGTATACATTTCAAATATATATTATATAAATAAACAGCTGGATTCACTGCAATATCAAATTCTGCACAGTCAGCTCAGCTTAAAGAAAAAGCAAAACATGCAATAAAGAACACATATGGCTTAACTAGAACCAAAAGAAAAATGCAGGAAATTTTTATTAACTTCAAGACTGTGACCCTACCAAATCTCAAAAGTCTTCGTACAGAATAATGCAACACTGAAACAGAACAAAGGACATTTATCCCCATGCTTGTGTTTCCATTCTAGGAAGTTCAAGATAGCTCGACATCAATCGCAGTAATAACTGTGTGGATCCAAAGGTCCTGATTATCCACTGTGGTGTCCACTAGGTAAACTGTCAACCTGCGCTCCCAAGGCTCACCTTTGACCTCCGACACATCTTGCACACTGTCCACCACTGCGACCAGTGCACGATTCTCTACATGATTTCTGAATAACATCGAGGAATCCTCTGACCATTGGTGCTGTGTTACGCCTGTGTGATCAGGAAAAGGAAACAACTAGTATGTGTACACCACAGATTTCATATAAAACATGGACATGTCTACTACAACACCCCCCAACGGACTTTTGCATTTTGGCTTCCACTCTACTGATTGGTAGTAGTGACTATGTTTGGATTACATTCGTCACACCTCTCTGATCTTTCAACTAACAAAACCTCCAAATAGAACTCTCAGTCAGCTGGTAAGTTGCTTCTGATTTTCCTAGAAGCAGGCTAAAATAGACCTTTGCAATTGCGGCGCCCAAACTTTGGAACAGTCTGCCTCTTCATACTAAGATCTCTCCAACACTCGACATCTTTAAAACCTGTCTGAAAACACTCTTTTCAGACAGGAAAAGAGTGTTTTCCTGTTAAAAGCTAGTGAGTAAACACTCTTTACTTACTAGCTTTTAATTTTGACTGAGGTTTTGTTTTGTTCTTTGTGTTTGTTCTACTTTTTACCTTTTTAAAATGTTCAACACTTTGGTCAAACTGTTGTTTTTAAAACGTGCTTATAAATAAATTGATTGATTGGATACTAGGTTGGGCTGTCAAGTTAAGTCACATGCAACAAGATTTACTTGTTGAACACTTCTTTGCAAGTGGCAAGCTAATTGTACCTACCAATGGAAGAAATAAAATTCAACCCCACACGCACCGATACTCGTATCGATATTGAACCGTTCGATACAGTGCTTTTGGTTCGGTACGCATATGTATTGAACAATACAAATTTTTTAATTTATTTGATCAACTTTTCTTCTGACGATGCTGTCTGTGTTGAGCGCTCAGTGGATCTGTGTTAGACTATTCCGCCTAGGCTGCACTTCGAGCGCAGATCCACTGAGCGCAGCGCAAGCTAGCAAGACAGAAGCTAAGCTCATTGCAACATGGCAAATTGAACCTCCCCCACCCTCATTCAGATCTGGCCTTTGGAACTATTTTGGTCTTCATGTGAAGCATGACAAAAGTCATGGACAAAAGTAAAACAGTATGTCGGATGTGCCCCGCAATGCTCAATTACATGGGTGGGAACTA